TAAACAGCCACACCGATTGTAATCTATCCACTTGGTACAGCTTCTCTTCCCTTACCTCCAACTGGAACAGACATGACTACTACGTCAGTGGAAAGAAGGTCCACTGTTTACAACAAAACAAATTACCTTCACCCGTGAGAAGACGGATCTAAAAATCCCTGGTCTAGAGCGGCTGACAACAGCGGTAGTTCATGCACGCATGCATATCAAAAAGTGGGACATCAAAATCAGCTTTTTTTGACAATAAAAGTATTTTGTGTGTAAAGGCTTGCACCCACGTGAAGGTACGGTGATGGTGGAGACGCTCAACCACTCAACAGTTAGATCTTTCAGTAGTCTCTCCATTTCAGACACAGCTGTACTCCTGACAATCATCCTCATGATTGCCCCTTTTCAAATCCATAGCTTCGCAGTCAGTTGGGAGTTGTGAGTAGTCATCCAGGACATTCCGGCAGTGTGTACAACATCTGTGCAAGCCTCCATCAATGCCCGATCGACATATAACATTGCACAGCCAGAGATACCTCCCTCTCTCTGTTGACTCGTTGAACACCCTCATCCACCAATTGTAAAACAAACGGCGGGCAACAATGCAGATTTGGGGCCTTCCAGTTTGCCAACTTGACCTCATGTCTGCATGTTCACCTGGCCACCTGGCCACCTGTCTACTTCTCGGCCACCTGTTCACATTTCAGGCATGATGACGAAGTGAAGTGGACCATCGAAGCGTGGTGTCGGTTCATTGATCCACTTGTCCAGTGAGTGTGGTAGCACGGAGGTAATGTTGAGGAAGGTGGGTATAGGAAGGGAGAGAGAAGGAGGTGCAGTTCAGTTTGCTCACTTCGCACCCATTGAAGTTGTGTCTTCCATTGGACGACAGTGGGCAAATGCACCTCTGCACTCCACTTGAATGCCTCTTCGCACGCACCCACATGTTGTGTGAAGAGGAAATCCATCCCTGCTTCCCTCGCCCCCCCCCTCTTTTGCTTCATTTTGTGAGAAGTGTTTGAAGGCTTCCTCGCTGTGCAGCGCATCCTACGTCAAGACGAGGATGGAATGACCTGTGCTTCACGAGTTGTCGTTTGTCTTGAAATGCATTTCGTCTTGACGAATGTTTGGTGAAAAGGGATGCTTGTGAAGGCGGCTGCAAATGTAGACGAATGGTTGATTGAGGGTGAGTAGGAGGCGGGGGGATGGCATGTTATTGAATGGAAAGGTGAAAATGGACGAAGTGTGATGCGAAGACACAGTTGTAGGTCTGGTGTTCTCATGACCAACCTGGTCCCTCTGCATGAATACCCGTGGATGGAGCAGGGAAATGTGGTGTTGCGGTGCCTTGAATATGCAAAAGGAAGAGATTGGAGGGAAGAAAGAAAGAAAGGAGGAGGAGGAGG